CAGCCCCGGGGGGCTCTGGGGAAGGGGAACCCCAGCCCGGGGCTCTGGGACTGCGGCTTCTCTGCCCTGGACCTCTGCTCCATCCCATCGTGGTGCCCCATGAGCCGGGGCTCCTGCCTTCCCACCGGAATCCCTCCGGAATCCCCCCGGTGGGCACCAGCTGCCAGTGCCAGATCCCAGTGGGAAAGGGGCTGCCAGCCCCAGGAGTGGGCACCCTCCTGCCCAGCTCCGTGTGGTGTCCCCACCTCAGCTGGGCTGGGCTCTGCAGCAGGAAGGAGAGCAGGATGCAGCCCTTGATGGGAATTGCAGAGGGAACCTGAGGAAGGGATCGGGGATAAACACAGCTGCTGGAGCTGCTGGAGCGGACATCGGCCTCTGCCCCGCCAGGACCCGCCCTGGCCCCACTCAGTGTGGGCAGGACTGGGGCTGGGACACGCGGTGATGTCCCACACGGTGATGTCCCACATGGTGATTGATGTCCCACAGGGTGATGTCTCACACAGTGATGTCCCACAGGGTGATGTCTCACACAGTGATGTCCCACACGCTGCCACAGCCCAGCCCTGTCCCTGCTCCCTGCCTGGCCCCTGCTGTCCCGGTCCAGGCCAGGGTCACGGCATGGCAGGGCACAGGATGCTGCCACAGCCTGGCTGGCGTGGACACACTGCCCTGGGGTCAGTGTGGTCCCTGTGCACACCAGCCACGGTGGCACAGGCGCTGTCCCTGGGTCAGGGCAGGCGGGTCCCCACTGTGGGGTCTCTGCACACCTCAGGGGCTGCTGGAGGGATGTGCCGGGCCAGGAAGCTCATCTGGGCTGTGGGTTGGAGGGGGAACCAAGGGTGAGCTGAGTGTGACTCCTCTGCACCCTCTGGCCCCGGGGGGGACCACAGTGATCCAGCCCCAGCCATCCCTGACCCTCTCCCTCCCCGCAGGCTGCTGAGGGGGACGTGAGGGACGCCAGGACGCCGGGATGCAGAGCATCAAGTGCGTGGTGGTGGGCGACGGGGCGGTGGGGAAGACCTGCCTGCTCATCTGCTACACCACCAACGCCTTCCCCAAGGAGTACATCCCCACCGTGTTCGACAACTACAGCGCCCAGAACACGGTGGACGGCAGGACTATAAACTTAAACCTGTGGGACACGGCCGGCCAGGAGGAGTACGACCGCCTGCGGACGCTTTCCTACCCCCAGACCAACGTCTTCATCATCTGCTTCTCCATCGCCAGCCCGCCCTCCTACGAGAACGTCAAGCACAAGTGGTACCCCGAGGTGTGCCACCACTGCCCCAGCGTGCCCATCCTGCTCGTCGGCACCAAGAAGGATCTGAGGAACAACCCCGAGACCATGAAGCGGCTCAAGGAGCAGAACCAGGCGCCCATCACCACCCAGCAGGGCATCAGCCTCTGCAAGCAGATCCGCGCCGTCAAGTACCTGGAGTGCTCGGCGCTCAACCAGGAGGGCATCAAGGATGTGTTCACCGAGGCCGTGCGGGCCGTGCTCAACCCCGCCCCGGCCAAGCCCAAGAAGCCCTGTGTCCTCTTG